GAAGGCAGGCTGAGGCTGAGGCTGAAGCAGGCTGAGGCTGAGGCTGAGGCAGGCTGAGGCTGAGGCTGAGGCAGGCTGATGCTGAGGCAGGCTGAGGCTGAGGCTGAGGCTGATGCAGGCTGAGGATGAGGCAGCCTGAGGCTGACGCCGAGGCTGAAGGCAGACTGAGGCTGAGGCTGAAGCAGGCTGAGGCTGAGGCTGAGGCAGGCTGAGGCTGAGGCTGAGGCAGGCTGATGCTGAGGCAGGCTGAGGCTGAGGCTGAGGCTGATGCAGGCTGAGGCTGAGGCAGGCTGAGGCTGAGGCCGAGGCTGAAGGCAGACTGAGGCTGAGGCTGAAGCAGGCTGAGGCTGAGGCTGAGGCAGGCTGAGGCTGGGGCAGGCTGAGGCTGAGGCTGAGGCAGGCTGAGGCTGAGGCTGAAGCAGGCGAGGCTGAGGCCGAGGCTGAAGGCCGATGAGGCTGGGGCTGAGGTAGGCTGAGGCTGAGGCTGAAGCAGGCTGATGCTGAGGCAGGCTGAGGCTGAGCTGAGGCTGAGCTGAGGCTGATGCAGGCTGAGGCTGAGGCAGGCTGAGGCTGAGGCCGAGGCTGAAGGCAGACTGAGGCTGAGGCTGAAGCAGGCTGAGGCTGAGGCTAAGGCAGGCTGAGGCTGAGGCAGGCTGAGGCTGAGGCTGAGGCAGGCTGAGGCTGAGGCTGAGGCTGGTGCAGGCTGAGGCTGAGGCAGGCTGAGGCTGAGGCCGAGGCTGAAGGCAGACTGAGGCCGAGGCTGAAGCAGGCTGAGGCTGAGGCTGAGGCAGGCTGAGGCTGAGGCTGAGGCAGGCTGAGGCTGAGGCAGGCTGAGGCTGAGGCTGAGGCTGATGCAGGCTGAGGCTGAGGCAGGCTGAGGCTGAGGCCGAGGCTGAAGGCAGATTGAGGCTGAGGCTGAAGCAGGCTGAGGCTGAGGCAGAAGCAGGCTGAGGCTGAGGCTGAGGCTGGCTGATGCTGAGGCAGGCTGAGGCTGAGGCTGAGGCTGAGGCAGGCTCAGGCTGAGGCAGGCTGAGGCTGAGGCCGAGGCTGAGGCAGGCTCAGGCTGAGGCAGGCTGAGGCTGAGGCCGAGGCTGCAGGCAGACTGAGGCTGATGCAGGAGCAGGCTGAGGCTGAGGCTGAGGCAGGCTGAAGCTGAGGCTGAGGCTGATGCTGAGGCAGGCTGAGGCTGAGGCTGAGGCTAATGCAGGACACTGCGACTGTCATCGCGAATGCGACTACGACTGCGAGAACAGCAGAACTCTACAACTGGATTCTCATCTGAATCTTAAGGGGGATGCTTCCAGATATGCTCCTACACATCGCTGTTAGGTTGCTTTGCCGGGATAATTTTGTTTTTTGGGTTTTTTGTTTTTTTTGGGGGGGGGGGGGGGGCAAACTGGGGGGCCCCGAGAGCGCGGGACCCACAGAGTTCGTGCGTGCGCTGAGGCACCCAGAGATTCTGAGGATGCAGCTCGGTGAGGGAGTGGGCCTTTCCCTCCTCCTCCTCCTTCTCCTCCTCCTCCTCCTCCTCCTTCTTCTCCTCCTCCTCCTCCTCCTCCTCCTCCTCCTCCTCCTCCTCCTCCTCCTCCTCCTCCTCCTCCTCCTCCTCCTCCTCCCCCTCCCCCTCCCCTTGTGTCTGTGTTTTTTTTCCCCTCTTGATCCCAGGGCAGGCCAGCTCGCCCCCTCGGCGGGAGCCCGCGTGGGGCCCGCGGGCGCTGAGCGGAAGGGGAACATCTTGGGAGGCTGCGCCGGCGCAAGTACACCGGAGGCGACGACCGGGGCAAACAGCCCGGGGGCGGGCACCACGCGTTTGGGAACCGTGAGCACACGTAGCAGAAACCTGGGAAGTCTGCGATTCTGGGGCCTGACCCATGAGCTGTGTCAGCTGCCGAGCCTCGGCCGCGCATCCTGCGGCTTCCGCAAGGGGGCGCCGGAGGACACGGCGTTTGTGCACCGACTTTTCGCTGCGTGGCCTCTCCAGAGTTGCGCCTGGGAGCTTGGGACTCGCTCGCCCAGGCCGTTCGCGGCGTGCTCCAGCTGCTCCCGTCGCGCCTGGGATACGCTCTGGGCGGAAGCCCACATCCGTGCCCGCGGCCTCGCGGGCCGGTCCCTTGGGCCGCGATCCCTCGGATACGTGTTTTGCTTCGCGGATGCCCAGAGCGTATTGATTGGCTCGTTTTCCACCACCACCATAAGTTGGAGGGGGGAAGGAGGAGGAGGAGGAGGAGGAGGAGGAGGAGGAGGAGGAGGACCCCCTCCCCCTCCAACTTATGGTGGTGGTGGTGGAAAACAGGCCCATCACGTATGACCGCATATCCGCGGGATCGCGCCCCGAAGTCCAGACCGCGAGGGCGCGGACACGGACACACAGCTCCGCCACAGTTGGCAGCGCGGTGCCCGCGCGGGCCAGGGAAACGCTGGACCGACGACTTCCGGGGGGCTACGGTGGGGGCGTTGGTTAAGGAATGTGCCCGAGAGGCTGCAGACCCTGGAGGATTCCTTATCTGACGAGGGCGGCGGTGACATCCTTGGCCGGTGCACGATTGGAGTGCCACCAGCCTCCAGACCCTGGCTTCCTTGTCCGATGGCTCCTTGTTCAATGCCCCCACCGTACGGCCCCGCCACCGACCTCCCGAGGATGCGCTCCAGGCGCGCGCGCGCGCTGAGCGCCCTCGTCCTGCAGGCGGGATGCGAGCGCCCGGGCGGCCAGGCGAAGGCGGGGTCGTCCTGGATCCCCAGGGCCTGGTTGGGCCGGGGCTGATGGGGCGGCGTCCACTGGGGAGCCCGAGAGCCTGGTCATGGCGCCAACATCGCAGAGCGGATCTCGTTCGGAAAACAACGGCACGGGCCCGGAGTGTCCTGGAGAGTTTCGTGCAGGATTTCGGAGTGCATGTCGTGCGGGTTTGCCTTGGCCAGGAATCATGACCACAGGAAAATCCACGTGAAAGTCACTTCGTTTCTCGCTCGAGATTTTGGGGTCTTGCATTGACAGCAATCCGCGCCAAAGTCCGCTGCAGCACGCCTGCAAGGTCGTTGCAGCGAGACCGGGGAGAGCTCCCCGCGGCCGCGCTCGACCGCGCGGTGCTCGGAGGAGGAGTCGTGGGACCCGCTCGCCGCTTGGGGCCCCGCCGCCGGCCCACACGGCGAGCACGGCTCGGGCGCGGCCCCGAAGAGGCTGCGCCACGGGGTGCGCGATCCACTGGCTGCGGCGCAGGCTGCGCCACGGGCAGCGCCACGGGTCACGCCATTGCTTGCGCCATCCACTCGGCGTCGCTCGGACGTGTGCGCTTTTCCTTCGGCGAGGACCATCGAGGAGCATCCTTGATCATTTGGCGAAAAAGCCACGCACGAAACCGAAAAAACACACAGGGAATGGACGTCCGAGCGATGGCCAGTCCATGTGTTGCACGATGGGTTGCGCCATCCGCGGGTTTCGCCATGGGTTGAGCCATCCATGTTGGGTCGCCCCGTGGGTTGTGCCAGAGGCTGCGCGAGGGGTTGCGTCATCCAATGGTTGCGCCGTAGGTCGCGTGATGGGCCGCGCCATCAAACGGCTGCGCTAGTGGCTGTGCCATGAAAGGGTTGCGCCACAGGTTTCGCCATAAGGTTGCGCCCTTGGCGGGCGCAACCTTATGGCGACATTCCGAATAAGAAAGCGCTCGCAATCTCCCCTCCCAAAAATCACAGACCCTCAGCGAGCGATTACAGCGAGCGGCTTGAATAAGGAACACTTGCTTTTCAAAAGGGGCTCGGTCGTTCCTTAGGCTTGCATGCGTTGTTTACCGTCCCGCATGCGTCATGTATTAGCTATCGTTCCCTATGTGTTGTTCCCTGGAGTAGAAAAGAGGTTTCGTTCTTTATTAATCGCTTCGCTCATTCCGCCGGCCCATATTGTCGCACCGTTGTGGGCTAGCCGAGTTTTGGGGCCTCTTGGGGGCCGTTTTGGGGCCTCTTGGGGCCTCTTTTGGGCGTCTTGGGGCGTCTTGGGGGCCTCTTGGGGGCCTCTTGGGGCCTTTTTGGGCCTCCTGGGCGCCTTCTGGGGCGGAGGGCTCGATTTTTCAGTTCTCGGTTCCCCTCTTGAGCCCCTCTTGGGCCCGTCTTGGGGCCTCTTGGTCCGTCTTGGGCGGCACTTGGGCCGTCTTGGGGGCCCTCCTGGGCCGTTCCGGGGCCGTCTTGGGAGCCTCGTGGGCCGTCTTGGAGCGGTCTTGGGGGCCTCTTGGGCCGTCTTGGAGCGTCCGGAAGCCGAAAAAGCCAGAACGCAAAAAACATAGAAAAAACAATGAAAATCAACGATTTTGGCCTCTTGGGGCCCTCTTCGGAGGCCTCTTGGAAGGCCCTTGGGGCGTCTTGGAGGCCTCTTGGGCTGTCTTGGGGCCCTGTTGGGCGTCTTCGGGCGATCTTTGGCCGTCTCGGGGCCCTCTTGGACCGTCTTGGAGGCTTCTTGGGGACCTCTTGGCCCGTCCTGGGGCCCTGTAACAGGGCTCCGGCATCTCTGGCCCGACCTTGCCGGGACCTTGCCGGGGACTTGCCGGGGACTTGCTGGGACCTTGCCGGGGTACTTTTCGTCCGGGGACCCCCAGGGGCCGCCCCGCGCGCGCGAACTAGAAATACTGTTAACCAGGTACCAGAGATCTTAGCACGCCCTGGCCCGTTGGGCCGGCGAATTCATCGTTCCTTAGGTCAGGCCGATGACTGTAAGGAAGCGCTCGCAACCTCCCGAAAACCTCAGACCTTCAGCGAGCGATTATCTTCGTGCCCCCCACCGGGGGGGGGAGAGGGGTTGCTCCTCCAGGGGTCTCCGGTGCTCCCCGGAGGCCCTTGGAGGTCCTTTTCGCAGATCACGAGTGGCTAAAAGCGACTCGAAGTTCTCCGAGACGATCAAATGCTCGATCCTCGAAACTCGACGACGACGACGACGACGACGACGAAAAATTTGAATAATAAGAATAATGAGAAAGAAGAAGAAGAAGAAGAAGAAGGCGAAGACGGCCGCGCCCGAGGTCTGGGGCGACAGCGAGCACCAGAGCACGTCGGTGGAGTACATCTACGACACCAGGCCCCCCCGCCGCAGAGGGCGGAGCGTGCCCGCGGCTCGTCGTGTACCCCAGCAGAGCAAGCCGGTGCAACTGGCATCTCTAATGTTACGTCGGGCGTGTCCCCCTACAGGAGGAAGATCCAAGAACAGTCAAAACATAGTACGGGGACGATTGTCTGACAATTTTTGACCATTTGGGAGTCTTTTCGGTGTGTTTTCAATTTTTCACCCAACATCCCCCTGTATGGGGGATAGGCCCGACCTAAAACTAGTATCGAAGACGCCTGCGGCGAATCACCGCCGCCCCCTGCCTTTTTAGAAGCGCCTATGTGGCCGAACGTTGAGGCCAGACCTGCCAAGCTATCGGACCATGAGTTCCCCGAATCGGTTTGGAAAGCCTTCGGGGAACACGTGGGCATCTTGAAGGTCATCTTGGCCGTCTGAAGGCCACTCTGACCCTTTCGGGCCTTCTTGGAGGACGTCTTGGAGGGTTCTTGGGCCGTCTTGGAGGCCATCTTGAGTTCTTGGAGGCCTCTTGGGCCATCTTGGGGGCCTCTTGGGACCGTCTTGGGCCTCTTGGGTGATGCGATCTTTGGGGGCACTTGGGCCGTCTCGGGCCGTCGGAAGGCCGAACAAAAAGCAAATGCCACAATCCTTCAAAAACTCATGGGAAATCAATGACTATGGCCTTTTCGGACCTTCCTGGAGGCCCTCTTGGAGGCCTCTTGGGCCGTCTTGGGCCATCTTAGTGCTATTTTCGGCCGTCTTGGTGGGCCCCTGGCCCGTCCGACACAGTCGGAAGCCGTTTGGGGGGCCTCTCTGAGCCGACTTGGGGCCCTCTTGTAATGCTCCAGGGCCGTCTTGGAGGCCATCCTGGGCGTCTTAAAGGCCTCCTGGGCCGTCTTGGGGGCCTCTTGGGGCCGTCTTGGGGGCCTCTTGGGCCGTTCTGGGGCCATCTTGGAGGCTTTTTGGGCGATCCTTGGGCGATCTTTGGGGGCTCTTGGGCCGTATCGGGCCGTCGGAAGGCCGAAACGAAGCAAATGTCAAAATCCGTCGAAAACCTCATGGACAAAAAACATGTTTTTGCCTTCCTGGAGGCCCTCTTGGAGGCCTCTTGAGCCGTCTTGGGCCAGCTTCGAGCCAACTTCGGCCATCTTGGTGGGCTACTGGCCCGTCTGACGCGGTCGGAAGCCGTTTGGGGGACCTTTCTGGGCCGACTTGGGGTCCTCTTGGGGTGCTCCAGGGCCGTCTCAGAGGCCATCTTGGGCGTCTTGGAGGCCTTTTGGGTCGTCTTTGTGCCTTCTTGGGGCCGTCTTGGGAGCCTCTTGGGCAGTCCTGAGGCCATCTTGGAGGCCTCTTGGGCGCTGTGGGGGCTATCTTAGGGGCCTCTTAGGGCGTCGGAAAGCCGAAAAGAAGCAAACGCCCAAATTCTCGAATAACCAAGTAGAAATCAATGATTTTGACTTCTTGTGCCTTCTTGGAGGGCCTCTTGGAGGCCTCTTGAGGGCCTCTTGGGCCGTCTTGGAGGCCATCTTGGACCATCTCTAGGCCATCTTGGCCATCTTGGGAGACATCATGTCGGCCATCTTCGATCATCTTGGCCATCTTGCAGGCCATCTTGGGCCATCTTCGCGACTTTTTGAGGATGTCCCTAGCGAAACGGCCGTTTTGGGAGCTTTGCAGCCACCTCTGGGCAAGCGTCCCGGGACCCCGGCGGGACGGGCCGAAGCCCCAGGGGGATTTCTTTTGTTTTGGAAAAAGAACCAAAACCAACACCGAGAGGGTCCAGCACGCCAGGCACCCCTGCGATGAATCGACAGGGGGCGGCGGATCTAAAATGGCCTTCGGCCCACCCAGCCACCGTGCCTGGATAGTGGGTCAGAGTTCTTAGGGATGTTTCTTCGGGTCTCTTCGGAGCGCCCTCGGGGGCCTCTTGGGAGTAGCTTGTGGGCCTCTGGGGAGCCTCTTCGGGGCATCTCGAGGGCCTCTTCGGGGCCTCTTGGGGGCCTCCTGGGGCCTCCTGGAGGCCTCTCTGGGCCCGCGGGAGGCCTCTTGGGGCCTCCTGGGGGCCCCATCTGGGCCGAGGGCTCGAAATGCCCAGTCGGGCTCCCCATCGGGGCCCCCTCTTGGGGCCGTCTTGGGCCGTCTTGGGCCGTCTTGGGCCGTCTTGGACCGTCTTGGGCCGTCTTGGGCCGTCTTGGGGCCGTCTTGGGCCGCCTTGGGCCGTCTTGGGCCTTGCGGGGTCGTCTTGGGGCCCTCTTCGGGGCCTATGGGGCCGTCTTGCGGCGATCTCGGGGGCCTCGTGGGCCGTCTTGGAGCGTAGGCGCGAATGCTGACATCCTTCAAGCACATGTCTGGAAAATCCATGAATTCTCTGCCTCTTGGGGCTCTCTTGGGAGGCCTGGCAAGCTCTTCGGCCGTCTTGGAGGGTTCTTGGGCCCTCCTGGTGCCTTTTGGGGGCCCGCTGGGTCTATGTTGGGGCCCTGCTTGACGTGGTCACCGTCCCAGAGGCCCACGCGACAAACCCTGGTAGCGCCCAAGAGCGCCCGAGAGGGCCTGGCGGCGCCTGGGAAATCGGGAATCCGGGCACTTGAAGAGCCTGTGAACCCTGGAACCTCTCAGGACTACAAGAGCCTTGGGGCACTCCCCTACGTGCTGAAGGCACGGTAGCGGATGAGCACAGTGCAGTTAGTGTCAGCACAATTCCAGCACAACTATTACTCGAGTGTTATTGCATTGCATGTACAATCTGGGCTCGCGTTTTTCCTCCTGATTGCGCCGGGGGGGGAACCCCGCGCTCGAGCACCCCCGTGGCTGAGAGTTCATTCCTCTTCCGAAGTTTGAGACGGGAGTTGCCCCATTGCTCGAACCCCTCGCCAGGGATGTCTTCCCTGGGTTCCTTGGCGCGCCCCAGAAGTTCTTGTCTGGGTCCCCTATGGATCCTGCGCTGGCGTCGCCGAGGTGATGCCGAAGGGGGGCAGAAGCTTCGCGTGTCCTGTCCTGCTCCTCCCGCTGCTCCCCGTTCTCCACACTGGCTCGGTACGGATTCTCCCCTCTCCCCCGAAGGTGGCTCGGGCGTAGCCCGCCCCCTCCGCGCATTCTTGCTTCGCACGCCAGGTTTCAGTATAGTTGGTCTTTCCATTGGTTTCTTCCATCGGAGCGTCGTCGGCGTGTCAAAACGATGCTGCCGCTGCAGCCTTGGCCTCATCTCAGGATCGGCGCTTTGCTCCCGTCGTTCTGAACGGCGCTCGCGCATGAGCGCGGGCCATTTTTATGGATCCGAGTCTTGCCTCATGGTTGACGCGTCGCTCCGTCCCCTCCTCCGCCTTCCCCTGGTCCTCATGCTCCTGCCCCTCCCTCCGCTCTGGTTCCCGCTTCTGTTGTTCGTCCCCTTCCTCTTTCATTCCTCATCCTCCTTCTGTTTCTCCTGCTCGTCCTCCTTCCCAATCCGCCACATTCTCCCCCTCCTCCTCTTCACTACGCAGCCCCATGATTCGGATTGCGCAGAAGGCGATGAGATCTTTATGGGAGCTTCAGGTCCGCTATGACACGAGTACGCGGATAGAGTATAGCTCAGCGCAATGAGACGGGGTGGGTGGGAGGGGTAGGATGTCATACATGGCGCGGACGCACCCAGCTTGGCCCTCCCCCCATTTCACTCCTCCCATCCTCCCCCGCGTCTAGTGCTGAGCCGTTTTCCCGAGACAGCGAATGACGCAAGAGATCTCTGGAATTTGAGAACGGAGACAGAGGGGGACAAACTCACGATTCGGTGGCCCAGTGTTCCAGGTGCAATCCAGGCCAAAATTTAGAACGAGCGCAGTATTTGTCATTATATGGTCCCAGAGTTTGGCGCAACCTGTAGTGCAACTTACTCGCGATGCGGTGGCTCAGAGTTCCAGGCGCAACCTATGGCGCAATCCAGACAGCGGATTCACTCGCGATTCGGTTGCTCAACATGTTTGGCGCATCTTATGGCGCCCCTTAGAAAAAGAGCGGACGAACTCGCGATCTGGTCGCGCAGGGTTTGTGGCGCAACTTAGACCGCCAGCTAGCTCGTAATGCGGCGTCCCAGGGTGCCGTGCGCAACCTATGGCGCAAACTAGACAGAACGGAGGAACTCGTGATTCAGTTGCCCATGGCTTTTGCCGCAGTATTTGTCGCAGCCTGTCGCAACCTTGACAAAGAAGACCAGCTCGTGATTCGGTGGACCAGGATGCCCAGCACAACGTATGTTGCAGCCTAGACAGCGGGTTAGCTCGTGATTCGGATGTCCTATGGCCCAGGGTGTTTGGCGCAACCTGTAGTGCAATGTACTCTCAATTCGGTGGCTCAGAGTTGCAGGCGCAACCTATGGCGCAACCTAGACAGAGCGGATTCGCTCGCGATTCGTTGGCCCACGACGCTTGGCACATTTTATGGAGCAACTTAGAAACAGAACGGACAACATCGCGATCTAGTCGCGCAGTGTTTCTGACGCAGCTCGAACAGCAAAGTAGCTCGTGATGCGGAGCCCCAGGGTGTCGTGCGCAACCTATGGTGTAAACTAGACAGAACGGACGAATTTGTGATTCGGGAGCCCAAGGTTTCTGGCGCAACCTTTGTCGTAGCCTGTCGCAATTTCTGGCGACGCAGACCAGCTCGTGATCCGGTGGCCCAGGCGCAACGTGTGTTACAGCCCAGACTGCGGGTCAACTCGTGATGCAGTGGCCCAGAGTGCCTGGCGCAACCTACTGCCCAACACGCGGCGCAACGTGCAGCGTATGGCGCAAATTGCAGCGGCCTTCGGCGAAGCGCCGTGCCGTGCAATGTTGTGCCGTGCCGTGTCCGTGTCCCTGCGCACGCTGCGGGGTGGAAAATGGACTTGCTTCTAGGACGCCGCCCCTCCAGCTCCTGCCCCTTCCACTCATGCTCCCCTCTTCGGTCCCCGTCCCCTCCTCGGAGTCGGCTAGAATTGCCAGAATCTTGCCCAGCAGACATCGACGGAAGTGTGGAATAGCTTGGGTCGGTTCAGTGGGATGTTTTGTAGAATCCACCCAGAAATTGATATGCGCCCACCCCCGTTTTGGTCAAAAAATATTGCGGCCCATCCAGCAAATTAGAGCCGAAGCAAGTCGAGGCGGCGACATAGGTGGAGGAGAAGGAGCAAGAGGATGAACAGGAGGTTAGGTCGAGGAGGATGGGGAGGAGCCGCAGCAGCAGCAATGGCAGTACGAGCGAAGCAGGATGGAGATAGAGTGGCGCACGGTGGTAAAGAGTCTGGAAAGGCCTGGCATGGTGCTCGTCGCTTTTGACGCCCTGTGGCTGTACATGTTCGCCTCGAGGCGCGCTGCAAGCAATGAGGGGGATGAATGGGGGAAGCGGCGGATAGGCGTAAAAACATTGACGGTGTTGGACGAGAAGGAGAACGACAAATATGGCGAGGTTGGCGAAGGGGATGAGAAAGTCTGTCTGGTCATGTGTGTTCCCCAGACACAGGTGGAATTCTTCCACATCTGAATGCCCTCCGCCTTCCCTTCATCTGCGGCCGTCTTGTCTGTCTCGGTTCCCCTCTCCTGGCACGCTGGCCACTTCGCCATCCGGTTGCCCCGAATCACCACTCGCTGGTGCGGACCGCCTCTGCCTCGCCGCCGACGGAAAGAGTGTTTCACAGACTGTTTTCGCTCAGGGTCTTCTTGTTGGGTTCGGCTGGAATCGGCGTCACCCTAACATACTGGTACTATGCCCGCGCCGCCCCCCCCACGGGTGACGCGCGCACCGAGAAAGCTTCTAGCATGTGCGTCGTGGCGGGCGCTCTCTGGCCACACCGCTCGGGAAACGGTAGACTACGAGATGGGCATACCAGATGTCTCGGGTCGGACGCGCGCCTCCGAGGAGGACGTCTAGCATCAGTGTGGCTCCGTGCGTCCCATGGAATCCCAGGCCACCCCTGGCGGGGGCGCGCGAAGGCAAGAGCGCCCTTCGCGCGTTGCTGCCTCGGGCCGCCGAGCTGGCCTTCTCCACGGGGGGGGCACGGCCGGCGCGAGGGCGCGAATCGACGATCGCGCGCCGGCGGCCACCGCGGGGCGCGCGAGGCGTGAAGGCGGGCGAATTCCGGGGATTCGGCTTCGTTGGCGCGCGTCGCCGCTGCCGTCCTGGACCCCGCGCTCCTCGGGCGAGCGCAAACATGGGCCAAGGGGGCGTGGATTAGCGACTAGGGGGCCACACGCGAACCCTACCCCTACCCCCCACGATTTCTGAGGGGGAGGGTGGGGTTCACCCTCAGAAATCGTGGGGGGTAGGGGTAGGGTTCACATGCGGACCCTAGCGACGGGCCCCGTTTCCATGGGACATCGCGGATCTCCGCCGCGGAGCGAGGCGGCGCCGGCAGCATTCTGGGGAGGGCACCTCCCCCAATCTATGGATTTTCGGCGGCCGCGCGCCAGTCCATGGATCGCCGATCCATGTCTTCGCGCCCCCGATTTCCCTTGCTGTGCTGCGCCGTTGTGGGGCGTGATCCTGCTCGCTATCGTTGCAACGATTCGCCATCGCGGGTCCTGGGTCCCGCCTGCTGTCGTTGTCACAGGTCGCAGTCGCTGGCGCTCGGTCCCACGCGTGCCTTCGTTGTTGTGCTTCGCCGTTACCAGTCCTTGGCCCCGCTGGCGCGCGGTGTCGCGAGTCGCCGTTGCCGACTTGTTGGTGCACTGTGATTGGTGGCCTGTGGTTGGCGCCCATGGTCGGTACCCAGAGTTAGTGAACTATGGTTGGTGCTCTGGCTAGTGCCATACGGTAGGTGCTCCAGGGTGCCTTTTTTGTCTGCGTGATCTGCCGTTGTTGACCTGTTGTTGGCGCTCCGCGGTTGGTATCCTGTGGTTGGTGCCCGGTTGGTGCTCTATGGTTGGTGCCCAAGCTTGGGTGGTCTGTTTTTGTGATTGCTGCCCTCAGTTTCCGTATGACTACCCATGGTTGGTACCTTGCGGTGGGTAATCTATATGGTTCCATGGTGGGCGCCCCCGTGGTTGGCGCCATGGCGTGTATGTATATGTATATGTGTACGTATACGTATACGTATACGCATATGTATGTGTAAATGTATATGTATTTGTATATGTATACATGTATTTGTATATATACATATGTTGTTTGCTACTATTAGTGCAGCGACAACTAACGATCATTCCAACCATACATATTTGGATTACGATTGCTACACTTACAGACTACTGTTGCTATTGTCAATGGCATACTTCATAGCGTTCCTGTTTGTCATCTTCAGGCGTTGTTTGGTTCGGGTTTTGGTTTCGGTTTTGGTTCCAGTTTTGGTTTTGGTTCCGGTTTTCTTGTTCTTCCCCTTGCGGAAAAAGACCCCCCAAACCACCACCACACCCACACTCCTTCCCTCCCTCCTCCCTCCTGTCTCTTTCCTCCTCCGTCCTCCCCCCCCTCCTCCCTCCTCCTTCCTCCCCCCTCCCTCCCTGCCTCCTCCCTCCTCGCTCCGCCCTCCTCCCTCCCTGGCTCAAGCGTGACATCTTGAGCGCGCTGAGAGCGACTCGGATCGCGTTCGACTGGACAGGCCAGTGAAGTGATCGATCCTGTTCGACCGAGCATGCCCAAGAGCAAACCGTTCACTGTGTGCCATGAATGCGGGCGCTGGGTTTACAACCGAAGGCTGGACAGGCAGAGAGGCCAGTGACAGTGCGACGCGTGGCTGGGGCCGTACACAACCACCGCCAAGCCGCCGTGGCGTGACCAGCGCGGGGCAAGTGGTGGCCGTGCGCAGGGAGCTGATGCGGGCTGGCGTTTGGGGCCCAAGCCTGGAGAGTGCCCTCTGGAGTCCGCGCTCGCCATCATGGCCAAGCATGACCCTGAACTGGGCCGCGCGGTGCGAGCGGAAGTGACAGGAAGAAGCCGCCCCTGGCGCCCGCCATCGAGCAGCCCAAGGACCTCTGGCAGACCCTCTCGCAGGCGAAGGTGGCGCAGCAGCGGAAGGCGAAAGAGTTGCTCAAGGCTGAGGAGGAGCTCCAGGCCAAGGAGCAAGCCCTCCAGCGTGCCAAGGAGCTGCGCGACAGGCCGCTCGAGGCTGACGAGGCCAACCAGGAGCGCGAACGGGCCTCGGAGGCCTACTACAAGGCCAAAATCAGCAGCGGGTAGAAGGCAGCGGCTGCAGAGCCCTCCGTGAACGACCCCGAGGTGGACCCGCAGCTGCTGCAGGACCTCGAGGACTACGAGGATGGCGCCGGCAAGGAGGAGATCCAGGCCTTCCGCGCCAAGCTTGAGGAGGCCCAAGCATCGGGCAAGGCAGCCCCTGCAGCGCACCAGGAGACGCTGGCTCGCCATGCTGAGGAGGCCCAGCGGCTTAGGCGGCGGCTCATCGTGCGACGCTTTTGGAGTTGATGGGCAGGCGGGAGCGGGTTATGGCGAGGACCCACCTGGCCACGACCACGTTCGACGGGCAGCGCATGGAGACGCTGCAGGCTGGCGGCATGTCGCCGTTCCTGGGCTTCTGCCCCACCACGCCGCACCTGATGTCAGGCAACTTCGTCGTCGTGGCAGCGAACTTCTTCCCGGGAGTTGGCCTCGCGGCAGGCGTCGACGCGCCGAGACAGAAGGCGCCCGCGGGGCTCCTGAGGTCCCTCGCTGACCCGTGGCTGGTCTTGGCGGATTGGAACGCCGAGCCCGACGCGCTGGCGCGCGTGGCGTGGGCCGAGCTGGTCGACGGCGCCGCCCTGAGGCCCGCGGGCTGCGCCGCCGCCTGCAGCAAGGGGGCGGGCAGCCTGGCCGACTACGGCGTCGCGTCCGCGGGGGCGGCGCATCGCGCGAAGCTGCAGGCCTAACTGCAGGTCCCATAAGGAACGCACATAGGGCTCAAGGCCTCCATCCAGGGGGCAGCGACGGCCCGGCAGCACATCCGCATGGTCACGCCGAAAACCTTGCCAAGCCCCGCGAGGCCCAAGAAGGAGACCGACGCGCTGAGCATGCGATCCAGGAAGCGCGCGGAGGAGCAACTGAAGCGCGCCGCGGCAGGTGCAGACGGTCCCCTGCAGGATGTGCTCGACGGGGGGTACGTTGGCGCCCCTGCTCCAGCCGACGCACCTCCTCGCCGCGGCGGAGGCCCACCGGCGGTGCCAGCGGGCCCGATGGGCGACCCTGAGGGGGGCCCCTTCGGCGACCTCGGCAGGGATCTCGGGCTGCAGGACGGGCCACCGTTCGCGGCGCCCACGACCATCGCGTCTGTTGGTAGCAGGCGGGAAACAGACATGGAGGGCGACAGACAGTTGGGGGCAGCCCGTGATGAATTGCTTCAGCGGCCGACGGAACTGTAGACCCACGCGCAATGTACGGCCCTGCAGGAGGCGATGGAGGAGGTGGAGTGCATGGACGCGGATCTCATGACGGGCGAGGTGCAGAGCACGTCCTACGCCGCCCAGGCAGAGGCGCGGGCAGCTGCCTGGGGGCAGGCCGCGCGGGCCACTGCGCACCCGCCCCCGGCGGCACTTGGAGCTCGCGATGTCCTTCAGGCGGGCAGCCCGGCCTCCGACGCCCTCACCTTGCGGCGCGCCCGTTAGGCCACGGCGGTGGAAGGGGGCCACCATCTGCCGCGGGGCTCGAGGGCGCCCCAGCTGCCGATGCGAGAGGGCGCGCGGATGGCGCGCAGTGCGTGGCGCAGAGGACCGAGGCTGCGCCAGGGCGCGCGCACTTCGCCAACCCTGTGGCCGAGTGGTGGGGCATCCCAGCGGCCGCGGCAGAGCGCGCGCGCTTGCCCTGGCGCGCAGCGGCGCGGGCCCAACCCAGGAGGCGCGCGGCCGCGCCACCATCCTGACCAAGACCCAGAAGGTCGGGCTGGGCAGAGGGCAGGGGCTGGCCCACAGGCGCCACGAGACCGCCGAGGCCACCAGCTGGCGGCAGCTCCTGGCGCAGCTCGACAAGTTGAAGCATGGAGGTTTACAGCGTGGCTACGGCCCGCTGGGCGAGCCGCGCGGCTGGGCGGGCCCGGGCTCAGGCAGGACGGCAGCGTGCCAAGTGGGTCGCCGCTTGGAAGACGGCGCAGGGTCCTGCGCATAGGCAGATCAAGGGGGATGGCCCAGCACCTCTCGAAGCGGCGCTGCCAGGGGCTACAGTCGCCACCCCCAGTCATCAGATAAAGCTTCGCGAGGATCGCTGGGGCGCAGTCTGGAGTTCGCCCGCCTTCGACGAATTCAAATTGCATGACTGGGTGGCGAAAACAGCCAGCAGGGCACGAGAAGAGGAGCTGGACCCCGATGAGGCCCAGAGCGTCAGGCAGGCCCTGCAGGCCATCTGGGCCAAGAAGGCCACGGGCGTGGACGCGCTGCGCAGCTCCGACATCTCTCGCCTCCCTGACGAGGCCACCCAGGAGCTTGCGGACATGCTGGAGCAGTCCGAGACCGACCTCGTCTGGCCGAGGCAGGTGCTCACCACGATCCTGGCTTTGCTGCCAAAGCCAAGGGGAGGTGATCGCACGATCGGCACCTTGCCGCTGCTGATCAAGTGCTGGCCCAAGTCGAGAGCCTCAGTCACGGGCGCCTGGTCCGATTCACTGGGGCAGCGCTGGGGCGCGGCCATCGGGGGCAGCGGCGCGTTGAGGGCTGCCCCGTGCCGCTCCATCTGGCCATGAACTTCTGCGCCATCGAGGCCTTGCTTGACATTGAGCAGCTCTTTGACTGCATCGATCTCATCTTGCAGCTCGAGATTGCGGGGAAGGAGGCCTTCCCCGCCGCGGTCATCTCCCTGGGGGCCCAGGTCTACTGGGCACCGCGCCGTCTGCGCGGGCGCGGCTGTGTGAACGGCCCCCAGCGCGGAGCGGTCCATCGTTGCGGGCAGCAACAAGGGCGTGAAGGCAGGCAAGTTCTGTCTCTACTCGCCCCTGCAGGCGGTCAGCGCAGGCGCCCCGCCTCAGCGCGTTCGTCGACGACGCCATCTTCCGCGCCGAGGGGGGGAAACAGGTGGCCATCGACAGCATGGGCGGCGCGCTCCAGATCTTCGCTGGGCAATGCAAGCAGGCGAAACTGGTAGAATCAGGCAGGTCTGTCGTCGTCTCCTCCGACAGCAGCAGTGCGGCCAAGCAGGCGGCTGAGGAAGTCGCGCGACGAGGCATCCCAGCGCGCGCGGTGGAGATTGATAGCCGCGGGTCGGGGGGGCGCCGCCGCTGCCGGGCGGAGAAGGGGCCGAGCGCAGGCCAAGAAGCGAGCCAAGAACGCAGCGAAGCGCGTCAGGGGCATCGCCCGTCTGCGCAGGCGGGCGAGCACGGGCAAGCACGCGCAGAAGCTGTGCCGCACGGGGGCCCCGCCTGCTCTGATCTACGGACGCCAGGTGCTGGGCGCGGCGCCGTGCCTGATGCTGCGCCTTCGTAGGCAAACTAGCCGCGCCATTGCGGGCAAAGGTTTCGTCGGGTGCCTGGCAACCACCTTAGCGCTGCCGATGGGCGACGACGACCCAGGGCTGGCGCTGCCGCGGCAGTTGGTGCCAGCATGGCCGCAGTTCTGGAGGCGGCACCCTGAACACCATGCGCAGGTCAAAAGAGCTCGGGCCAACATCGACTAGGCGCTCCAGGGCCTGCCGCCAGAGCGCAGGTGGGCCTGGGTGAAGGGGGCCATCTCGGCGGCCATCTGCGCGCTGCACACGGCAGGATGGGAGGTCCCCGCGGCCATCGGCTGGCAGTCGGACGTCGACGAGCTGTGGAGGGTGAGCGAAGGACCCAACGAAGTCGACGACGCCGAGCTGCTGGAGGAGGTGGTGGTCAGCATCGAGTGCACATGGCGGCGCACCGCGGCGCAGCGCGACGCTGGCAAGGGGGTCGAAGGAGGCCCCGGCTTCTCGGGCCGCTGGACCGCCCGCGGCGCGGCGGGGGTCACGGTGCCTGGGCGCTGCAACTGCAGGTCATGACGAGAGCCTCCTGGACTAGGGCTCGGCAGAAGGAGCGAGGCCTCGCTAGCGCGGACCTGTGCCCGCGACGCGGGCAGCGCGGGGCCCTCCCGCGCAGGGTCTGGACCTGCCGGGCACGAGGGCTACGCCGCCACGCAGGGCCTCCTCGACAATGCGATCAAGGGTCACGAGGCGATGCCGCGGCTGTGGCTGCGGGGCCTGCTGCCAGCCAGCTGGGCGCGGCACGCGTGCCCCGAGGGCGCCCCCGAATTCGCGCGCCAGACGGGCTGCTGGGAGGAGGTCGAGCGCCCGCGCGGGGCCGACGGCTTCCTCGGCGCATCTGGGGGCGGCTCGGGAGGCGAGCGCAGCGGCGACCCCCGGGGCTCCGACGGTGCGGAGTCGGCGTGGCCATCATGAGCGCCTTCACCGAGAACGAGGGCGGTCCCCCGATGGTCGCGGCGGGCATCGTGGCATTACCAGCCTGGAACATATCCTTATCCCTATGCTGGGCATCTCCTCATCACGATGCCAATCTTAGGGGTTCCCTTATTTTTTGAGGGCGCATCCCTAAGATTGTCATCGCTTTTTGGCATGTCGATCTTAGGGATAGGGATATGTTCGAGGCTGGTAATGGCAGGCCTGCCTGGGCCCGAGCAGACGGCCCCGATAGGGCCGGGCGGTGGGCCTTCCTCTTGGCGCTCAGGGCCACGCGCGGAGACCTGCGCTACAGGCGCAGACAGTGTGCCGTGGGTGACGGGATGGCGCCGAGGGAACTCCTCCTCCTCCTCCTCCTCCTCCTCCTCCTCCTCCTCCTCCTCCTCTTCCTCCTCCTCCTCCTCCTCCTCCTCCTCCTCCTCCTCCTCCTCCTCCTCCTCTTCCTCCCCCCCCCTCCTCCTCCCCCTCCTCCTCCCCCTCCCCCTCCTCCTCCTCCCTCCTCCTCCTCCTCCTCCTCCTCCTCCTCCTCCTCCTCCTCCTCCTCTTTCCTCCCCTCCTCCTCCTCCTCCTCCTCCCTCCTCCTCCTCCTCCTCCTCCTCCTCCTCCCCCTACCCCTCCTCCTCCCCCTCCTCCTCCCCCTACCCCTCCTCCTTCGCGCCGACGCTTTTGCGGGCCAAGCTGCCGCCGAGGTTTTGTGTAAGGCCACCGCAAAGCCTGAGGTCGGATGGGTCGACGCGGTGGCGCACCTCGTGAGGCGCAGGTCCATCCGAGTTAATTTGAACCGCGTGGCTCTCAATCCGATGTGTAAGCAGGTGATCCCACTTGCATCGTCGCGCCACCATCTTGGGCGGGTGGGGGCGAGGTGGCAATGCAGGAAATGTGAGCGTTCTGGCCTGCACGCGGACCTGGAGTGGTTCGCGGAATTCGAGTGTAGGCCGACGCGTTTTGCACAAGTTTGCGCGGTGTGCGTGTATCGTCTTGGGGCGGGAGGGTCGTCGTCGTCGTCGGGTCTCATTGTGGGCGGGAAGGGACTGCGCACGTCGCACACCCTTCTGTAGGTTGACCAAGTCGATATTGATGTATGTTCCTCCTGTGGGTGCTCTAATCGCTTCATGGTAATGACTCTCGCGGAAGAGTGTGGCCATCAGACGGCTAAAGGAGAGCATAATCTTAAACGAGTTGCACGGGGCTTGTGGCCCCACCCAAAGGGCATGCCCAAGAAAACACTGGAAGCTTTGCACTGGCGGGATGCCAACAGCGATCGCTAAAGCTAATGCGAATGTGCACGCGTGAAGCGTGAGCGCGTGTGTGTAGCATCGCAAATGTCATAGTACAATTGAGTACTGTTCATGCCGATTTCCTGCCGATCTCCCCTCCTTCCTCCTCCCTCCCCCTCCTCCTCCCTCTCCCGTCGCCTCTGCTTCGGCCCTGCGCCAGAGGGGCCCCCCAGGGCAGCTCGGCGGGCCCCGCGCGGGCGCGAGCGCCCCCGCGCGGCAGGTCGTGGCAGACGATGGAGAACGAGAAGAGGCTCAAGCCGCGCCAGTTCTACAGGCGGCGTTGCCCCTTGGGGGTCCGACTCCAGCCCGGGTCTCGGCGGGGTCTCGCGCGTCCTCGCCGGCGCTCCTCGGCGGGGCTCCCGCCTCGGCTCGCCGAGGGCGGTGCGAGAGGGTGCCCGGAGCGTCCCGGAGGGAGGCCTCATCCTCCTTCTCTTGTTCTTCCTCCTCCTCCTCCTCCTCCTCCTCCTCCTCCTCCTCCTCCCCCCTCCCTCCCCCCCTCCCCTCCTCCCCCTCCCCCTTCCCCCTCCCCCCTCCTCCCCCTCCCCCTCCTCCCCCTCCCCCTCCCCCCACCAGAGGGTCTGGCGCGAAAGCTGTCCTCGAGCTGCGCCGGTTCTGCACGGGCGGCGCGGCCCCAGGGTTCCCTGGGGGCCGACGGGGCTCCCAGGAGCTCCTCGTCTCCCCTCCCTCGTCCTCCCTCCTCGTCTCTCCTCCCTCGTCCTCCCTCCTCGTCCTCCCTCCTCGTCCTCCCTCCTCGTCCTCCTCCATTCATTTTCCTTATAGATAATAGCTGTTCCTTAGTCGCACCCCGAGACGTGTTGGTACAGCAGGCAGGGCGCTTCGCTTAAGAATTCCCCACCATGTATGGTCCTGAAGCTTAGACTTTACAGCAGTTCCACGGATAGAAGGGCGGGCATGTTTCAGCATGTGGCTCTGACTTCAGCGCAGCGCACATTCGTTTCAAACGTGTGCAAGACTCTCACGGATGACGGGCGGGTCGTTTTCAAGACGTGAGCCTTGCCTCGGCGATGCGCTCGGTCGTTCCAGGAGCGCGGGCCGCTGTCGAAATGTGGTTCTCGCTTTCGCGCCGCGCACGTTCGCTCTGAAAGTCCGTACAGTCGGGGGCGCTGAAGAAGGAACCCTTTTCGTCGGGGAGGGGCTCCGCCTTCCTTAAGTGTTTCACACCTTGCCTCAGGTGTTCCTTAGGTTTTTGTATGGGGAATCGAAGTTTGACCTGTGGAGAAAAGGGGGCCCCGTTCCCTGTTTAGGGCTCCCATGGGAAAAAGGGGCCCCGTTTCCTATTTATCGTTCCCTAGGTCAGCGCCCCGACGGCATGAGCTCCACGGGCGGACGGCGGGCTGGTTTTCAAAGTGTGTTCTTGTTCGCTCCGGCGCCAG